TGGCTCATTCCCCCTCTCTCTCTGCTTCTACTCTTTCTTTGCACTTGACTTTCCATTGTTGACTGAATACCTGAGTATCAGGGAACCCAAATTGATCAACCCAGGTAAATGGTAGCACTGAAAAACTTCCTTGGCAGGGACCTATCATAAACTTGCCAGATCTTGAAGACTTCCAAGCAAAATTGAAATGATTTAGGAACTGTCTACTTTACAGCTTCCCCTCCCTCCTTGAGTACCTGAAACAGTGGGCTTAATAAGTGAGCTCTGCTTGCAAAATAACATGACTGAGAGTTGCAAAGACATTTTTGGATGTCTAAACTATCGAAATCATCCACGTGGTTTCTCCAAAATAATCACTGTGGTGGCAGACACTTGTAGAATGGAATTTAACACACCAAAACACCTCGCGTTGTGTCTGAGTTTCAGAGGAAAAAATAAGCAAAAAGTGCTTTCATAAAAGGAAAAATATCTTCTATTGGAATAGGAAAAAGACTATAAGATTTTCCCCTTAATATCACACAAAATGGGAGTTTTTGCAATTTTAAATATAACACAGCTTGTAGAAATGTTCAGTAACTTTTGGTTTAATTATCCATAACAACTGAGACAGTTATTGAACTGTCATTGTTTTAATTATGGCACGATGATTAATTATGATACATGATTAACCTCAGCTCTGTCTCACAGCATATTTAACAACTAAATCATGCAAAAAAAGTGTTCAGGCATGTAATCGGAAAGTAGTTTTATTAGCACTAGAACTTTCTCTTCTTCTCCCTGGTTACTAGGAGAGCTTGAGAACAGTTCAGCTCACTCAAAGTAAAACTTTGTTTAAGATTTCCCTTGGCTTTCCAACTCTAGCCAGTGAAGGTGACCTTCCTACAGAGAAGAGCAGACTTCCTGTCTTAGAGGGCAAAACCATCCTTCTAATTTTTGATTTCCTAATAGCAGTTTTATTCTTTCCTTCCACACATTTATTTCCAAAGGAGCAAATATTCAAATATGTTCAATGGTGATGAACCTCTCTTTTTTGAATATCTGCTTTTGAAAACAACCAAGTTCAAATGATTAATTTGGGAAATGAGCTTGAGCATAATGTGAGTATACAGAGGCCCAGAATATTGAATGCTTTAAAAGAAGGTTCACACACACATTACACACATTATCTTCCTTACTATTCCTGTGAAGTGTGGGGGGGAAAGCACCATCATTCCCCTTTTACAGAGACAGAAGTTGAATTTCAGTTGGTTCAGGACTTGTAATCCTAACCCACTGCCCTTCTCCATGACTTGATAAAATCACATTTCTCTGGGCTGGTGGCTTCTTGAGAAACAAGAAGCAAAGATTCAGAGAGCCTACTATCTGGAAAAAGGAATCTGTGATAATGCCATCTATCCTAGCCTGTTTTCTGTTGTTATACCTGAATATCATAGACCAATTTATAAAGAATGGAGATTTATTTAGTTCACAGTTATGGAAGTTGGAAAATCCAAGAGCATGGTACTAGCATCTGGTGAGGGCCTCCATGCCTCAACATGACATGGTGGGAGACATCACGTGGTGAGACAGAGCAAGTGTGATAGATAGATCAGGTCTCTCTTCCTGTTTATAAGAATAATGCCATCATAGGGTCCCAATCTCATGACATTATCAAATCCTAATCCCTTCCAAAGGCCCACCTCCAAATGAATTTGAGGGTTAAGTTTTTAACTACAAACTTTTGAGGGATATATCCAAACCCTAGCACCATCCCTAGCCCAAAACCTGGCACAGAAGCTTCCAGGCATGCCAGCTTCCTGAGCTTTGGCATCAGCAACCAAGTATCTGTTGCTTCAGCCCCTCTTTCATGGACCACAGTCACCTGGCTCATGGCATCTCTACTTCTTTCCATATCTCTATCTTTTCCCAGATGGATCTCAAATCTAAATTCCAAAAAGGAGTCAAAATAATTGACTTAACTCTTTACCAATAGACCATTAGGTAGAGCCTTTAATATCAGGTACTTCCTATTCATCAAAAATGACCTCACCCAAGCAGGTGGCTATGGGAGGGGAGCTTCAGCTAGAAGGGCATGGAGAGTGGCATAACTGGTTATGGATGATTCATCTATAACATGGCAGTGATGGTGCTCATGCTGATGACCATGATGGTGACAATGATATGTGCCATATATTGAGTGCAGAGCACATGCCTCTCACCATGCCAAGCTTTCTGTACACATAAGGCTTAAAAACTGAGTCTGTGTTCAAGTCTCAAAGAGATAGCAAGATAGGCAGTAGTAGAGAATTCTAACAACTTCTGTCCTTCCACATGTTAAAGTGAACTATTCATTAGTGTAACTTCTCACATCTTTTCCTAGCTAAAATCACCAAAAGGATAATCCTAATATCTTTCCCCATCTCTTCCCAACATATGAAGTCTGAAAGGGAGTCATATAGGATTCCAGCTCTCTTTTGTTCTTGTCACCCTGAGATGCAGTATTGGGATAATGGTTAAATGGATTCAATATATAAATAAGCCTTGGGTGGTCAATGCCTGTCCAGAGGCAACCTGGCACTGATTCTTCTTGAAGGCATCATTGCTGTCTGGAATAGAGCTTCAAACCTTCTGAGAAGGCAGAGCTGGCTTCTTGGTGTGATTTGAGTGTCAGTAATTCCATCTCTCCTCTAAGCATCTATGATTCCCTCCTGAGAGATTTTATCTTATTTTTAAAATTTTTTAAATTTATTATTCTAATTTGTTATATATTACAGAAGGATGCATTACAATTCATATTACACATATAGAGCACAATTTTTCATATCCCTGGTTTTACACAAAGTAGAGTCACACCATTTGTGTCTTCATACATGTACTTAGGGTAACGATGTCCATCTCGTTCCACCATCTTTCCTACCCCCATGTCCCCTCCCTTCCCCTCCCTACCTTGAGATTTTATTTTATTTTATTATTTTAAATGGTATCTCACTGTGTTTCCCAGGCTGTCCTTGGAACTCCTGGGCTCAAGTGATCTTCCTGCCACAGCCTCCCAGCTGTTCCTAGATTTTGAAGGTTACCTAGGTTTCTAGATCAACATTATTATAGTGTGCATATCCCCTTTTAAAAGATAACTCATTGAGTTTTGTTAGCCAAACCCTTCCAGGGAAAGATGACAGCTGTTTGAGGAATGATGAAGAAGCTATCACCAAATATCCTTACTCTACTATCAAGATTGCACAACCATTTGTATTTGCATCCAAGGTAATGGGAGAGGTCTGCCCAGAGACTTCTTCCAAGGTTCCTAAGACAGGCAGGCTGAATCACATTTAATTCTTTATCTCCATGCTCCATGTTTGTGTTCCTCAGATGTGCCTAATAGCAAAACCCAGGACACCTGTCAAAATATAGAGTCCTACACCCCTACCAGACCTATTTATCCAAAATTTTTACACAAGGGCCTAGTGATCTGTATTTTTACCTTTATTTTATTTATTTATTGTTTTATATGGTGCTGCAGATTGAACCCAGGGCCTCGAATGTGCTAGACAAATGCTCTACCACTGAGCCACTTCCCCAGCCCCACAATCTGTGTTTTTATATACTCTGAAGGCTTTGGGACATATTGCCCATTCCAAAATCACTGATTTTTTTCCCTCTCTCTGCCTACCAGGGTTTGGGTATGAAAGAAAGCCTGGGCACCAGTAAGCAGCATAATCTTTACTAAGCCACGTCCCTTTCCTGGTCTTTATTCTCATCTGGAAAATGGGAGTGTTCTACTAGATCACTTAATAATGCAGTCTACCATTTGCATTTGCCAGTATGGACTATGAAAATTAATGTCACAATGTTTTCAACACATTTTTGAAGCCCTTTTCCAATCAACCACTGTAAAATTCCAGGAGAGTCACCAGGGCAAGAAAGCACAAAAGGCTCTTGAGTTCTTGTGTTTACTGAGATAACACCTGTGAAGAGGCCTAGCACAGGGCCTAATACTGAGAACTTCCAGAAAGTATTAGCATTCTTCTCCCAACTGTGTCATGCCAACTATGTTTTCAAATGGCAATCCCTACAGAGTTGTGCTATTCTTCTATGCATCCCTGTGACCAAAATACCTGACAAGGACAACTTAGAGAAGAAAAAATTTACTTGAGTTCACAGTTTTGGAGGTTCAGTCCATAGAAGGCCAGATCCATTGATGTGGGCCCAAGATGAGGCAGAACATCATGGCAGAGGAACACTGCTCAGCTTGTAGCATCCAGGAGGGAGGGAGGGAGAGAGAGAGAGAGAGAGAGAGAGAGAGAGAGAGAGAGAGAGAGAGAGAGAGAGAGAGAAAGGGGCCATGGACAGATATAGTCCAGGTCACTCTGCCACACGACCAGTGATCTTCTTCCTCTATCCATGCCCCACATTCCTACAGTTACCACCCAATAGTCCATTCAAATTATTAATCCATCAAATGGATTAAGCCACTGATGAGGTTACAGTTTCTCATAATCTAATCATCTCACCTCTGAACATTCTGAACTTTCCTGTATTGATCTCTTTGGAGGGCATTTTCAGATCCAAACCATAACAAGAAGCTTCTGCACCAGACCTCTACACACAGTTCCAATACTACCCTACAGACTCACCAACATACAGGACTACTGGCAGTGGGATACCGTTGTACAATATGCTGCAACAACAAGTGGTCAACTCCAAAGTCTGGACTCTTTCTGTCACATTCTGGCCTCTATATGTGCCATCTTTTACTCCTGGCCTCCAAGCCTCCACAATCCTGTGTAGCCTGCTCATCCCTCTCCCACCAGCTCCCCCAGGAGTACTCTTTCCCCTGTACCTTAACCCCCATCCCAGAGGTCACCCTGTCCTCCTTCTGCTCAGCACCCTCTCCTATGTCCTGGGGATCTCTACCCCACCATCAGCCCAGCCCATCAACCCCAAGGTCTCCTGGACCAGCAGAACCTGCCTGTGCCCTAGAAGCATTCAGAATCCTTTCACTTCTCTCTCCCACATACCTGCAGGGACTACCCAGCCCCTTCCTGCGCTGCCCTTCACAGAGACTCCTAGACCGTGTGGTTCGGCGATATGCTGAGGTAGCTGATGCTGGCAGCATCTTCATGGACCACTTTACTGACCGTGACAAGCTGCGCCTGCTCTACACGCTCTCTGTCAATGCTCACCCCATCCTCCTACAGGTATGCTAGGTTGAATGATCAACCCCCTTTATAGCCTTCTCTGGGGCCACCAGCCCATGTTAGTCCTTTTGTGACATTTGGTAATTACTGTTTGGCTTCTGCAGTGTAAAAGTGCTGCAGCTGCTGTAGAAGAAAGAGGTGTGGGAGTGCAAGGCTGGCATTGTGAGGAGGAGGTGATTGTAGGCATCTTTGCTGCTTGAGGCAGCCATGAAGGGTTTTGTGAAAGAGAGCAACTTTGACCTGTGCCTCAAATATCAGTAAAATTTGAGCAAACACAGAGGGTTGGGAAATAGCCAAAGTGTGGCTTACTCCTGCAGCTAAGCTTAGAAAGGAGAAATAAATGAAAGTAAACTAACTGTCCATCAATTAGGAGGATACTCAAATAAATAAGGATGCATTAGGGTTTGAGGATACACTGGTTAAAGAGACAGGTATGGTGGCTCTTGCCTTTGGGAACTTCTAATCTAATGGCAGAGACAGACACTTAACTGTAAACAAACACCCCCAGAACATGTGGAGCCCAATCTCCCTGACCCCAAAAGTCAGGATATGGAAGTTGCATAATGAACAGAGAGGAAACTAGGAAGGAGGAAGAGGAGGAAAAGGAGGAAGAAGAATAAAAGACAGAGAAAGAGAAAAGGAAGAGAGAGAAGACAGGAAGGAAGAGGAGGGGAGAAAGTACAGGTAGAGGAGAAAGGCACTACAGCAAAGACAGTTCATAAATATTGGCCAAAGGAATGATGGATACCTGAATACCTAATAATGACTCTCCTTTATTGAGCACCTGCTTTACTGATCACTACTCTATCACTGAGGTGCACCCCCAGCCCAACTTTGCCAGGCATTGTGTTGAATGTTTGATATAATTATGTCAGTTGATGCTCACAACAACCTTCCAAGAATTTCATTATCGTCTCCTTTTCTAGATGAGGTTAAGTGAGTCCCAGAGATATGAAGTGATTTGGCAAAGTCACTTAGACAGTGTCATCAATGGAATCCAAACCCAGAACTCTCTGATGTCAGAGGCCATGCCTTTTCTGCTAAAACCTGCCTGGTAACATTTGCATTTAAAATATTAGGGGCAGAGAAGGAATTGCTGGTTGTCCTGCGCTCTTTTATCCCATTGTTCTAATCTTGGTTGGTGACAGCAGCAGACCCTGTCTACACCTGGACTTGGCTTCTGAGAGGCCTGGCTAAGACCATGGGGACTAGGACTTTCCACTCAACCCTGAGCTCCTCCAAGAAAGAGCAGAGCATGGAACTAATAATGCGTTTGTGGCTTCACATTTAAACAATGACAGTAGGCCCAGGACCTCCTACAAAAGCACATAGTGAAGGCTGGGATTGTGGCTCAGCAGTAGAGCACTTGCCTGGCATGTGTGAGGCACTGGGTTTGATTCTCAGCACCACTAAAAAAAAAAAAAAAAAAAAAAAAAAAAAAAAATTCTTAAAAAAAAAAAAAAAGCACATAGTGAGAAAGGTCCCCTCTAGTCAGGTGAAACTCAAAGAGTAAATGGGCATGGGATTTTCATAACATGAAATAAAATGAGCAAAAGGGACAGAAAATTATGACATTGGGGAAGACTGTTGTTTGGGTTTTTTGTTTTGTTTTGTTTAGAGCTGGGGATCAAACCCAGGGCCTTGTGCATGCTAGGCAAGCATTCTACCAACTGAGCTGCACCCCCAGCCTAACTTTGTTTTTTTTTAAAGAAAGAAAAGGGGATTTTTTGTTATTTATTCCATAGTTTAAAGAAACACCCTTCTAGATATAGCTGCTTTAATACACTGTCAAGAAAAAAAACAGCTAGGACTCCCTCCCCTCTTTTTCACCTCACAAATGTGCAAGTTGGGAGTTCTTAACAGGAGTCAGGCTATGCTATGCTTCCTTAGGCCAGTGTTAGGATATCTAGAAGGGTCCAGTTAGCTGAGAAGCATCTGTGAGTATGTAGTTACCTCAGCTAGGCAGATTCACCCAGGGCTGTCTGGAAAGAAAGTTAAGGTCAGTGCAGGGGTTCCCCAAATCTGAATTTCCCAAGGGCTACAATCATGATTTTTGTCCTGCACTGTTATTTTTATTTATTTTTTAGATATCTCACTCTTGCCAGGCTGGCCTCAAACTCTTAAGCTCACATGATCCTCCTGCCTCAGCCTCCCAAGTAGCTGGGATGACAGGTTGTAACCTGTTGTCACACCCAGCTTGCACTGTTATTTTTAAAAATATTTTTCTTTGAATCAGCTTTAAGTTGACTCTCCATTGTTTTTCCCACAGTCTCTTCGTAAGTAGTGATATCTCAAGTCCTTGTGAAATCTCAAGTCCTACTCATATTTTTCCAACACTACAACTGTTAGACATATTTCTCTGAATCCTGGATACCATCAAAAAATTTTGCAGGTCCATTAGCATTCTCATACCCTGCTCAGAAGAAACAGTTAAAATACACTGCACAGAAATGAGAAGAGCCTCCTTCTAAAGTCTTTCCATCAATGACAGAATGTGAAAGGGATGGCCGGTTGGGGGGGGGGGAGTGTAGGGGTATTGCCATGTTCCAAGAAGTATAAAAATGATGAAGAAACACTTTGCTGGTGTATTTTGAGAGCAGGGATGCCTGTGTGAGGCTGATTTTTCTGTGTTCTCTCAGTGAGAGGTAGGGAGAGAGCTGTCTCCATGAGATTTTTCTCTCATTCGCTAATACCTGTTCCTTCCGGCTTGGCAGATCTTCCCTGGGGCGGAGGGATGGCCGCTGCCCAAGTACCTGGGCTCCTGTGGCAGATTCCTTGTCAGCACCAGCACCAGGCCACTGCAGGAATTCTATGGTGCACCCCCAGACCAAGCAGCTGACCTCGCCTACCAGCTCCTTGGTGTCCTGGAGTCCCTGAGAAGCAATGATTTGAACTATTTCTTCTACTTCACCCATGTTGATGCAGGCATGTTTGGCATCTTTAACAACGGGCATCTGTTCATCCGGGATGCCAGAGCACTGGGCGTCATCGACAAGCAGGAAGGTACCCAGCATGGGCCTGGCTGAGCAGCTGTCAAGGGGGATGTCAGGGTGACAGAAGCTAAGGAGGGGTGACCTGGGGTCACACAATTGGGCCTTTCCAGTGTCCATGTGTTACAGTGAGAGCAAGCCAAGTTTGGGGCATATTAGATGTTGTGTAAAATGTCCCTTAACCCTGTTCAGATTTTGCCTCTAGCTCCAGCTCCAAAGCGGAAATGAATTTGACCTTGTCCACAAGGGGCATTGTCCACAGTAGCTCAGCCCCAACTGCACCCTTCCAGGGCAGTGCTATTGTCCAGTTGGGTTTATGAAGCCCAGTAACCTGCCCTGGCCCTCCTCACACATAGACTTCCAGGGCCCATCTTCCTCTCAGAGCCTTTTTTAGCAGATGCTTTTAGCCTTTATCTAAAACTTAAATATCTGGCTGGTTCACTGGCGCATTTGGCAATCCATATTGGCACATCTGCTTTTTATAAAGTTTTCAAATTAAAAAGCATGGAACTGAATGAGGTGTATGAGTGACTCATGTTCTTCACTATGTGCAAAGGCTCATCCAGCAGTCTAGAGCCCTTTAAACATCCCAATTTCCCATGGTGACCACATTTTTTGAATCTAATAATAAAACAAAAATTTTCTTTTCCCACTTCTGATTTTGTTTATATGAGGAAGTCTACAAAGATAGAAGAATTTAAACAGCACTTACTCATTTTCTGATGTGCCTTTATTGGTAAAAATCGAAACAAGGCTGATTCTAGAATATTCAAGATACATAAATCACTGGACTGGTATCCACCCCATTACAACCTGTTGAATGCATATTTTGGATTACCTGTTTTTTATCCTAACTTTGTATCTTAAAAAGGCAAGTGAAAGCAGTCCTAATAATTTATTGAGTTCCCTAGTTCAGTAGAAATGGAAAAATAACAATATGGATGTGACCCCTTATCCCTACCAGAAATAAAGCCTTTCCCAACTTCTGGTAGGGATAAGTGGGTTTTCCATGTTCAGGTCTCAACCTATTGTAACAGAGAGAGTTCCTCCCATGTTGTTTTCAGAAGAGGCCATTTGTGTCCCTGAGCTTTAAATTCTTGGTGACAGGGAAATGCTGGGAGAGTAAACCACTTCACCCAGAAATTGTAATTAGTGGTGTCCTCCATCAAGGAAAACAGGTTGTAGAGTGTGTGATCTTCTCCTTCTCTTTTCTAGGTAGCCAAGTAGCCACCAGGGCAGGAGAAGATCAAGACATTTTTAGCTGCCTGGTTTCTGGCTGCCAGGCCCAGCTGCCCTCCTGCAATATGGTTCCTGAGAAGCAGAGCCTTGTGCTGGTCTGTCAGCAGTTGCTGCCTCGACTTCTTCAGGGGAGGTTCCCCTCCCCAGTACAAGAGGAGATAGACACTGCTCTTGCTCAGTGTGGCGAGGAGGCCAGCCCAGATCCAGAAGTCCTTGGGGCTGCCACCCGGCTGAAGGACATCTTGAGGCCCCTGAGAACCTGTGACCCCAGATTTGCCTACCGCTACCCAGACTGCAAGTACAATGATAAGTTCTGAGGAGCTGGATCCCAGGCTGATCTAGAGGGGATGACACACTTGGCTGCCAGGTCAAACAAAGCATCTCTATGTCAAACATTAATAGAAATGCATATTCACCTCCCAGGGGCTAAAGAACACTCAAACTAAGGAGGACAGTTGTAACAAATCATGTGATTGCCCCTCCTGGCAATGTCATGGCAGAACTGAGATGTCATGGCAGAACCCAGGGATGGGCATCAGCGAACCTGGGTATGGACACTCACTCAATGTGTTTGAGCCTTGGTTTCTTCTCTTCTCCACCAGAGTTTCATAAAGGTGAAAGAAGACAGAGATGTAAGAGATCTGGGACACATGCTCACTAGCCCCAGTCCAGGTGGTGACAAAGCATGTTCCAAAAGCACACATAGGTGGGCTGAGAAAGAGCCATGCAGGTCACAAGGCTGGTGTAGAGGGAAGGCAGGGTGAAAGTAAGTCTCTGGACTACTGGAATTTTAGATTCAGACAAAGAGACCAACTTCCTGTTCCCTGTTCTTCCTGCCATGCTTCTCACACCACTGTGGGGGAGCAGACTGCAGGCCAAGGGGACATACCCACCATTGTCTTCTCCTGAGCCGCACTTCAGGTACCTGGAATTCCCTACTTCTACATAGGAGGCACCTTATAGTGTGGGGAGAAACCAGGACGAAGAAGAGAAGGGGACAGCCAGAGCCAGTGTGTTAGTTTCATTCCTCTAAGAAGTGGGTGCCGGAACAGGATTCTATGGGTGAGAATTTTCTTAGGGAAAGTGCCTGTGGGAAAGGCAAAAAGGAGGAAGCAAAGCGCTTAGAGAAAAAACAAAGCCAGCCACCAGACAAATCCCATGTCTCCCATGATGGACCTCTCTTATTATCTCTGCTGTACTCAGTCATTGGCAAAAGCAGGCTATGAAAGTGTAACCTCAGTCCAATCACAAAGATGGACTTCACAGCACAGTAGCTGGGGTACCAAGTATCTACTGCTTTCTAGAACATTTTTAATGTAGCCACAACTGGGAACCAGGGTGGGCTCTTTCCATACCATGTGCTCCAGAATACAACTGTAAGGAGTCAGAATTTTCATTCAAACTTGGCTTCACAGGCCATTACAAAATTATATTTTTCAAGTCAGCCATTAGAACACAGTTTAGTTAACAGTCAGTCTGCTTTATACCTTTTAAATTAAACATTTAGCCACATGAGATGTGGACTTCCATGTATGCAACAGTAGTGGGGTTCTTCTAGACCTTCTCCCAGTCTCCTACCAACCTTCTTTCCCCAGGGACCTTTAAGTCTACCTCCTCTTTTCTACCTCTAAATCAACACCTTTAAGGTCAGAACACTTGGCTTAACATGACTCACTATGAAGATGGAGAAACTGAGGCCCAGGGATGAAGAATGATTTGCTGGGATAGTTCCAGAACCCATGCTACCAACCCATGCTCCTCTTGTCTTCCCCATCAGCTTCTGACTCTCGTCCTGTGCTATTCAAATCTAGTCCTTTCACTTACATTTAAAGATGGGCCCCCAAAAGTCTTATTTTTTGTCATGTGCTATGTTGCCCTTTGGGTTTGCTTTTGACTGCTCCAGACACAGCCACATGGCAACCATGATAGTGAGGATGACAGGCCAAGCTTGTGGAATAGCAAGCTTCAATTGCCTGAGAATCTGAAACTGCCTTCCAGCTTGTTCTGGAAGGTGAAGTCTGACCACCCTTCCCACCTGCACAGCCACCCTTCTCCCTTCTGACCTGCATGCACTGTGTCCTCCTAGCCTGGACATTATCCTGTCCAGAGTCCAGAGAAGAGTCACAGCCTCTAGACTTTCCAGAATTCCACTGAAGAATAAGGGTGGTCACAGAGACCCTCCAACACTCAGCCCATCTCTCTAGTTGCAGGTGTTTTTCCATTGCAAAATTGTTCCATATGATGAGTGACTTTGAGTGAGGTCCCCAGGGAGTACAAAAATGGACCCTTTCACGGGCGATGAAGAAACCTTCCTCTAACCCCTCTATCACAATTCTGCCCACTTTCACAGAACTCCAGACCTTTCCTTCAGACCAGTCTCTTGAGACTCTGAGGAATGTTCCTTCAAAACCATCACATAACCCCTGGAGCTGCTGAGTGTTAGGCAGGAAATACAGACTCAGATCCCTCGTGAATTAGGAGAAAGAGATCTTGGTGCCCTACTTGACTGAGTCCCAGGAGAAAGCAAAGAACCAAACCGCCCAAGCACCCTCAGGGGGCTATTGAGAGATTGTTTTTAGTGCAAATTATAATCAAATTCTGTATTTGTGCAGCTGTGCTCACATCCGCAGTACAGGCCAAGAGCTAATGAAGGCAGGACAGATAGATGTTAGGCAGAAGCTATGTATGCTTTGGAATGGCTTAGAAATGATTCTCCAACAATGAATTTTTGCAGGTTCAGGAGGTTACAGAGTCCCTTTTCTCATATGCTTTCAGGACAGAGCAGATGTGTCGCTCTTGTCAACAGGCCTAAAAAATCACAGGCCCCACTCAGGCATTGCCTTCAGGAGATGTGTCCCACCCACACCCCATACAATCTACAGACCATCTCTGCCACTCCCTTCCTGTGGCAGAAACAGAGCAGAGTTGTCTGAATCCACTCCCTACTTTAAGGAACAACTGTCTGCCTAGCTGTTGACCCCTTTTGACTCTGCCTCAGCTACCCTGCAGCTTCAGAGTTACACCCTTCCTAGGGCATAGTCATATCCAGTGACTGGGTTTGGTGAGGTGTGATAGCCCAGCCATATTGGTTCACTGAGTAACAACTTTGACAGGCAATTCTCATTCCAGAACTCCCCACTGAGCTGGTCAAGACTCTACTGGGCCTATATCACAGTCTAACTTCCCTCTGCCCATTCTGCTTCCCCTGTATTCTTTTTACAGATATCTGTCCCTCTTAAACATCTTGCACCCTGTAGTGGGTTGAATGGCGGCCCCCAGAAAAATATGTCTACATTCCTAATCCTGAGAACCTGTGATGGTGACTTTACATGGAAAAGACATGATTAAGTAAAGGATCTTGAATGGAGGGTATTATCTAGGATTATCCAGTTAGACCCTAAATGCCATCCCATATAACCTTATAAGAGAAAAGCAAAGAGAATTTTGAGACAGAAGAAGAGGGGCAATGTGAAAATTGAGGCCAAGTCTAGGGCAATGTGACCACAAGCCAAGGAACTCTGGCAGCCACCAGAAACTAGAAGAGGCAAGGAATAGATTCACCTCCAGAGTCTCCAGAGAGAGTGAGGTCTTGCTGACATATTGATTTCAGATCAGTGAAATTGACTTCAGATTTCTGGCCTCTAGAATTGTGAGATAATAATTTTTTTTTAGCCACTTTGCAGTAATTTGTTATAGCAACCACAGGAAACCAACATAAACTCCCAAATCCATCTTAGTATCTGCTTCTAGAGAACCCAACTTATGACACACATCAACTCCAACCTAGTGTAATTGATTCAAAAGCAAGCCAAGAACACTCAATGTCAAGCATAAGGAAATTCTGGAGAAGTATGTGATGCCTTCATACTCAGGGTTGATGGTGACCTTCTCCAACTTACAAAGTTCTAATGTTTACTGAAGACCCTGTGTGGGTGCTATCTTGACCCAAATCTTTCTCTTACATACCAGCCCTGACAGGTCACTTTCTGAACCTTATGTCAACTCCTGGACCACAGTTCTGTGTCCCACTTGGGACTAATCCCAAGAGTATACCAGAAAGATCTGTGTCCCACCCTCCCATCCACCTGGAAACTTCCTGAGCATGGTGGTAATGTGGGGCACTTTGTATTCCCCATAGCAACACAGGGCTAGACACAGCAGATGCTGGGAAAATGTTCCTACTGAGAACAATGACTGTGTTCTTCTGCCCTATTTGCTTGGTGGTGTTCATACACCATACTGGCTATATATAGGACAGAGCCCCTTCCCCAGGAACAGTGCCTTCCCCTCAACAGCTAGGAGACAGGTGAGTCAACACTCAAGTGACTTCAGCCAGAACAAAAATATCATCATGTATTCTCAGTCCCCTGAAATTTTATTGGAGGCATTAGAGTATATTTCTGAGTTAGATCAGTCAATACCTTTTAGCCTACAGAACAGGTTACATTATTTGTTGGACCCAGAGGAAAATGAAAATGCAAGGTCTCCTATTCAAAAATAAGAATTGCATGATGAGACAATAAAGCATGAAATTAAACTCAGACCCTCTACAACTGTACAGTTTGCAGGATTATACTTGGCATTGAATGCTCTTGGCATTTTCTGGGAGCTCATTTGATTTCTATATCCAAGGGGAGCAGGGGTGGGACCAGGGGTGATGTATAAATATGTAACAACTGCCATGGCAAAGACCTATGAGAACAGACTCTACTGGCTTCCACCATCAGCAGGGTCTAACCACAGCCCCAGGGGCAAGTCCTTCTTTCCACAGGAGGAAACTAGTTTCAGTGATTTGCTAAAAGTGACAATTTTTAGGTCTCTTGCTTTCCCAGTCCTCTCCTAAAGCATCTGACTTCTGCCTATAAGCAATTCCACAAACCTGAACATTTCCTCTAGAATTAAAATAAATATTTTGTTGGATTTGTGTTCTTTTGGGGACGATCTAGAGCTTTGGAATCAGACAGACCTAGTATCAACCCATGACTATGGTAGTTACTGTGTAACCTTTGGCAGGTTACTGAACCTTTCTGAGCCTTACTTTCTACATCTATAAAATGAGGAGAAAAATATTTACTCCAGGGACATTGCCTTGTTTAAATAGTGTGATGTCTCTCAAGACCCTATATTTGAAGGCAAATGTAGCTCAAAAGCCAAGGGTCTCCCAGCAGAAGGGTTCCTTATGCAGCCAACACAAACAAAAGAAAAGGACCCTGATCTCTGCCCCAACCCTTTACTCCAGCCCCCAGAAGCCCCCAGGATGCCTCAGGATACTCAATAATCAGACTTCATTTTTTTCACTTCCCACATCAATCATCAAAGGCAGGTGGGTAGCCATTATACATACCTCCCCAACCTGGCCCTCCACCAGGCTCAGAAGGGAATTCTCCTCCATCAGATAATATTGGGAGCCTGAAGAAGTCTATCCATGCTTACTGTAGGAAGAGAAATGAGGAACACATCTTGGCCCATTGAAAGCTCTGGCCTCACTACCGGTTCATGGTGATATGGCTTTTTTCCCCACTTTGAGCCTGTCATCACATATATTGGCACGTATGAGCTTGCATGTACACAAGGATACTCACTGATCTGTCTGCAGCTCTTCAGTATATTAAGACTAATTTTAGGCCATGTGGGAGGGCCAACACACAGGCAAGAACCCTTGTATTTGCAGACATAATGGCCCTCTAAGAAAGCAGCTCAGAGAAACTAGCCAGCAAAGGTGGGCTAGGCAACCTGTGTATGCCCCCCACCCACTAGAGCTCTTTAGAGAGACAGACAAGGAGACTAGAGCACTCCTGACCTACTTGAGTGACCAGAGAATTGCCTCAAACCTGGACTTTGACCCTAGGGCCAGTGTGGCATCACAGAGGGAGATGTGTCCATCTTTGGATACTGCACCAGCCTCTCTGTCAAAAGTCAGTGCATCCAAGTCATTCATTGCAGCAATGGAGTTCACTGCAGTTGAGTAATGAATAAGCAAATAATTTGCAATGGATATGCAAAGTTATTCATTGTAATTAAAAAATTGGAAAAATATAAATCTCTGTACATAGGACATAAGTTTGAAAGAACTAGTCCATGCACACCATGGAGTGTGATGTAGCTGTACAAATGAATGAGGAAGCACTCTATGAACTGATATGGAGTTATTCACAGGATACAGTGCGAAATGGGAAAGAAGCAAAGAACAAAAGGGTGTTTCCAGGATGTTGCCTCTCATGTAGGAAAGAAGGGGATAAAAAAAAATTTCCTTTCCTGTTCACTTCTGATGTTCTGAATTAGATGTTTTCAGGAAGTGGGAATAATTTTATGATTGCATATCTCAAGAAATCTTAAAGGTAGTTCAGAAGGAATAGGCATGGCTAAAGCTACAATTCGCAAGGCAGTGAACATCCCATATTTTGGAACGTTCAGTCATTTTTGTTTGATGTTCATGTTTTTGTTTGTGTTCAGATATGAGTGCCCTTATTTAGTCTTGATCCTTCTTGGTCACAGAGTGGCCTTGTTTGATGCTGGCAATCTCAGAAATTGTTTATAAGAGAACATGAAGGCTGAGCTGTGAGGGCCAGTTCAGCTATGAGCAACACTGAGGGCAAGTCCTAACTGATAATGCCATGCCAGTTTCCAGATATTGTAGGTGCTGTTCTCTTTCTCAGTTGGGCAACTTGGTGGGTAAAATTCAAGTAAGGTCTATAGATTAGCAAATCACATTTTATTAATGTTAATCCCTTAGTGTCAATAATTGTGTTATGGTTATATACAGTGCTAACATGAGAGGAAGTTGGGTGAAGGGTGTAGAGGAAATCTGCATACAATTTTGGAACTTTTTGGTAAGTATAAAATTATTCCAAAATAAAAAGTTTTAAAACAAAGAAAAAAACTCGAAAATTAGTTCAGCACTAATTTGCAGGGGTTAGCCTGCATATTGGGGATATATTGTATAAAACAAAATAAGTATCTCAAAACACCAAAATATTGTCTATGTGACAAGACAGTCCCAACTAAAAACACAAGGAAACTGAGTTGGATTCAAAGGAAGATCCAGGTCTCCCATTTGAGGTGCACTTTAGGGTCCTGTTCACTGAGTAGAAGCATCACAGTACCATTTCTGTTATTCCCATGTTTTCTCTCCCTTTCTTTTATTTAATTTGCTTAGGTGAATGTGCCCATGCTTGGACCAAGGCTGCCCTTATCTACACAGGAAGGCAGCAGAGACCCAGAGTTTCCTCATACTTACCTGTGATTTCCTCCTTCCTCACACAAACCATGGTGCCTCTTAAAGAGGGGGCATGGAGCACCAGTGGAAACCCACCACTCCCCACCTCCCTACCTTGCTATCCCCACCTGCCACCATTGAGCCAAATTAATCTTTCTGCCTCCTGCTCATACCTGAAGCTTCCTTGCGAAAAATCACTCTTTTAGGGAATCGTGCTAAAAGTGAGTTCATATTTCACTTGTCAAAATAGCAAATATTTTAATATTTTATCTTTTTAATGATCCTACCCAAAGCAGGAAAAATTTCAGGAAAATAGACAAGTCATGGAAACTTGGTGAGAATATTGCAAAGCAATTTGGCAAAGTTCATCAAGAGCCTCTGAAAGGATGGCACACTCTACCCAGTAATTCCACTTCTGGGACAGAATCCAAAGGAAGTAATCAAGAATGCAGAGAGATTTATGCACAGACTGGTTGTTAAAAATCATGGATTGAACATTTGTAACCCCCCACTGAACAAGAGTAAGTGGAATTTTTAATAGGCATAAACTACAAGACAGGGGGAAATGAGAGAGGAGAAAAATAGAAACACAGTTTTGAAAGCTGGAAAGCAAATAACTTAGGACCAGAAGAACTGAATCCTAAACTGGCAGCAGAGAATGCTGAGAACCAACCCAATTTATACCACAAACTCCCTCAAAAGGTTGAGGAATTGGAGGCCTTAGATTGTTCAGGAAGTGAGGGGGGACAAGGTGGCTAAAACATGGATAAGGTTTGAAGGACTATTTTCAGAAGCAGTCGGATTTCTGGTCTCCCCCACTCTGTACAGCCAAATAATGGCCCTCCAAGACCAACAAATATCAGAGGCCCCTTCCCTGAAAATCCATTAAAGGTTCTTCGGGGGCAGCATGCAGAGACTAGGGTGGTAGGTCACACTGAAAACCAAAGGATCAAGGTCACAGCGGTTGTGAGCTCCCCACCCTTTGCTGCACTGGCAGTCTGGCCTTCACCTCCAGGCAGAAGAATGATGAGGGAACCCCCATGGGAAAAGACCAAAAGACTTGACATCAGAAGCTCCTCAGCCACCCCAACCCTGCCATGTTCACAGAGTGAAGGTCACATTGGGCCAACCCCACTGGCTCTCCAGAGCACTCATCCATCTGTTTGAGTTCCCTACTCATTTTATTTTCATTTTTCCCCATTACATTATTTTGAAATTATTTCAGGCCTTCAGAAAAGCTGAAAGAAAAGTACAAATAATTTCCATATGCCCTGCATCTGTATTCCCACTTGTTTGCCTTTTTTCTCACATTTGCTATATCATTTTTCTCCCTCCCTCCTTCTGTTGCTCCAATGCCTCTTGTTCTCCCCACTTCTACATCCCCCTTTTTTTCTGAGCCATTTTAGAAAAGTTACAGATGCGCCTCTAAATACTTGAATTTATATCCTAAAAACAAATAAAGGCTTACATAACCATAGTATGATGCTCAAAATCAGGAGACTAATATTGATACAGCACTATTGTCTAACTATAGCCCTTATTCAAATTTTGTCAATTTCTCCAAAAATATCCTTCAAAGAAACTTTTTTTTTTTATCCACCTCAGGACCCAATCCAAGACTACATATTGCATTGAGCCGTTGTATCTCTCTGGTCTTTTTCAATTTGGAATAGTTTCTCAGTCCTTGCATGTATATGTGTATGTGCGTGTATTTAATCACTTTGATGTCTTCAAAGTGGAACAGCCAGTTATTCTGTAGAATGCTCTTCAATCTGGGTTTGTCTGATGTTTCCTTATGATGTGATTTAGGCTTTTCACTTTGGGTGATGCTGTACCTTCTTCACTATAGACTATCTGAAGACATATGAGGTCAGTTTGTTCCCTTACTAGTGATATTCATTTGGTTAAGATAGGGTCTATTAGTAAACCTCCAATTTAAAAGTTAAGACAAAATTGAAGAGGAAATACTTTTAGACAACGTAAATATTCTCTATTCATCAAGCTTCTACCTACTCAATTTAACTTCAATTGATGGTTCTTGCCTGAATCAACTTTTACTCTGATGGTTGCTAAATGACGATTTTCTAATTCTGTTGTTCCTTCTACATTTATTAATTGCCAGCCTATTATAAAAAAGAACTTTTTCTTTCCCCCATTACTGTTTTATTAATATGTTTGTGTAAGTATGAGTTAATCTTATCTCATTCAATGGGTTATAATTTAATATTTATTTTGATGCTTTGAATTTTCACATGTTTGGCCAGCGGGAAAACTCCCAGGAAGTAGAGCAAAAAGTCAGATTAAAAACTATGAAATAAAAAGTGAATTACAGAATTAGTCCAGCAGGTCCAATACCCAAAAATAAGAGTTCCAAAGAGCACATACACACAGGTTGACAGACACACAGAGACCCAGATAAGGTACATAAATGCAGGCACCATATAGTAACATAGGAGCACACACAAAGACATATGCAGTTCAAAGACACATAGCCAGACAGAGACACAAGCATGCAAATAAACATATGCTTGCACACAGGAGGCAATCATCAACACAAAGATTAACATTCCAAGAATTAAAGTCCATCCGTGTTTCAATTAGGACTTTTGCAGTGCTCACTGCAAATAGATGAAAGTTCAGAATCCTAGGGATAAAGGGGAAAAGCTCACAATTTTTCAGAGGTGGTGATGACTTCCAAATTCTG